TTTGACCTTTGGAGCCAAACTCAAACCAATCAAGCACCACTCTTGTGGTTATAATTGTTATATTTGTGTTTGATAACTAAATATACTGAACAAAAAAAAAATTAATTGGTACGATTAATAATTAATATTACAGTACAATGTATACTTATAAATTAATTATCAAAAATAATATTTATTAATAACTAATGCTTTATTAGTAATAAATAATAATTAATATTAACGAGGGTTTTCTAAAATGTTATTCCAAATAGTGTCTCTACAAGTTAGTTTATATCCATCAAAACATATACTCAAAAAATAAGTTAATTTATGTTTATCAAATAATGCCTAAATCAGGGGCAAAAACGACATTTGACGCGGCCTAGGCCGCATGGCACGTTGTCCACATAGCACTAGGCCTCCTCACATGTAATAAATGTGTGCGCTATCGTTTTCGTAAAATAAAAATGTTCTTGTTCAAACTTCATCTATATGTGTGTGTGCACGCACGTATCTGTATGTATTACCTACGTTTTATTTGTCAAAGAAAAATGGCAAAAGTCACAATTACCCTTTATGTAACGGGTCTTTAGTGAGAGGGACCAAATCTAAACATTTTCACAAATTATAATGGTTAAATTATAGTTTTGAAACTTTAAGGACTAAAACCATTACAATCAACTAGGGCCAAATGGGCCCGGCCCGGCCCGTAACCGCCGGAGGACCAGAATCGGGACCAGAACCTGCCCGGGACCGGTATGGATCGGTTGTGGACCGCCGGTTATGAACCGTTTATGGATTTTAACGTTGTTTAGGACCGAAACCGGTTAAGACTGTAACCGGTTATAGGACCGGCCCGGCCCGGTCAACAAAAGTCAACGTATATATATATATATATATATATATATATATAACAAAACGTATTTATAAAATTAACGTATATATATATATATATAAATTTATTAATTATCAAAAATTTGAATTTTTTTTTTTTTTTTTTTGCAAAGGACCGACTGTAACCGGTTATGGGACCGGAACCGGGACCGGACGGCTTAACCGGTTATGGAGGATTTCACCGGAACCGGGACCGGTTATGGAACGTTTTTGTCTTGATCGGGACCGGCAGTAACCGGTTATGGTCCGGCCCGAGACCGATTTTTGGCCACCTCTACAATCAACAAACCAAATGGACAAAAAGTGTAATTTACTCTAAAAAATATATATATTGTTAAAAGAGAAGGAAAAGTTGATATAGTTCTATTAAGAGACAGTCTCTCTGAATTGTTCTAAAATAAATCTTATTTGGTAAAATGCTTCTTAATTGTTCTTAAACTTTTTGAATGATTTTGTATCGTGAGTCTTCATTTAACCATTAAGCGTCCTAATTTCATTGGAAACAATTAACAAGCAATTATATTTTATTTTACACTATCTATACTATATTATAAAGTATTTGATAAAAACTCTTAAAAAACATTTTTTACGCATGAAATACTGTTTATTGATACATATTACTTAAAATTCAAGATTACAAATAAATTGTGCGGAAGCTGTTAAATCTCAATGTTTGAATTCGTGTAACTAACTGCGGATAAACATAATCAAATAAATTATAAACATTTCACTTTAAAATATAAAAAATCTAAAATATAATCAGGATAATTATTGAGTTATAACAAAATAATTAAAAATTATATTATTAGACCAAATATAAATTACTTCGTTATTGAATCTAAATTAAATTATAATTAAAAAGTTGAATTAAAAAATTACATAAAATATGAGGAATTTTAAATAGTTAATTTGATACCAATATCGATATATTTTTGTCAAAATTTTATAATATTTTCAAAATCACATAAGACTATATTATAACATCAACCAAGATAAAGAATAAAATAAAATATTAAAATTAAAATGTATCTCATTGTATTACACAAATATTTTTTTAATATTATAAGAACATTTGAATTATTCTGAAAATTTAATTATTATACAGTTCAAACTGTTAAAAAAACAGTAATTTGAAATATTTATTTATTTATTATTATTTTTTTCAGTTTGCCAGCCAGTGACAAACTGTGGTTTTCTTCCTCCTTTTTCTTTTACTTATTATATTCTATCCTCCCTCCTCCCCTCGTGATCTCTCTATCTTCCATGGCCGCCGTTGGTCTGAAACCTCCATTTTAGCCACCACAAACCACCACTTCCTACTCCTCAGCTACTCGCAGAAGGCGCTAGCTTCCACCTACAATGTCGGTGTTTACATTTTCCTTTTCTTATGCTTTTCTCGTTACTCTCGTCGTCATCCACCGAATCACTTCCGAGCCGACGGAGGACAAGCAAGCACTACTCTCATTCATCTCCACCGTCCGCCATGCCTCTCGTATTCAATGGAACTCCTCCGCTTCGGTTTGCTCATGGATCGGTGTTACCTGCGACTCCACCAACTCCTCCGTCACCTACCTCCGTCTCCCTGGCGCTGGACTCGTCGGAATCATCCCGCCTAACACCATCGGGAAACTGTCTCAGCTTCGAGTACTATCACTCCGATCCAATGGACTCACCGGTGAGATCCCTTCCGATTTCTCTAACCTCACTCTTCTACGTAGCCTTTACCTGCAAAACAATAGATTATCTGGTGAGTTTCCGGCGAGTGTATCGGATTTGACTCGTTTAGCTCGTTTAGATCTCTCGAACAACAACCTCTCCGGTTCCCTTCCCTTTTCGATCAACAATTTGATCCAACTGGCTGGACTTCTGTTACAGAATAACGATTTTTCCGGCGAACTTCCGAGCATTAATCAGGAGAGTTTGGTCTCTATCAATATCTCGAACAATAAATTGAACGGTTCGATTCCAAGTAGTTTATCTAGGTTTCCGGCGTCGGCATTTGCCGGAAACATTAACCTCTGTGGCAAACCATTGCCTCCTTGCAATAACGCATTCTTCCCTCCGCCAAGTCCAGCTCCGTCTGCGCTCGAATCTCCGCCATTGCAGAAGAGCTCGAAGAAATTATCAAAAGGAGCAATAATCGCTATAGCAGTTGGCTCCGCTTTAATTCTAGCACTCTTGTTACTATTTCTCCTCCTTTGTCTACGGCGGAAGAGAAAACAACAGCGCAAACAGTCTCCCAAACCAGCGCCACCGTCCGCCGCCGCCTCCAGAGGAATTGCAGAAGCTGGAACCTCATCGTCAAAAGACGAATTAACAGGCGCATCGATAGATGGAGAGAGAAACAAGCTAGTTTTCTTTGGTAGTGGGATATACACCTTCGATTTAGAGGATTTATTGAGGGCATCGGCGGAGGTTTTGGGTAAAGGGAGTGTCGGAACGTCGTACAAGGCGGTGCTGGAGGAAGGTACCACGGTTGTAGTGAAGCGATTGAAAGATGTGTCGGTGACGAAGAAGGAATTCGAGACAACACTGGAGGTCCTAGGGAAGATTAACAATGAAAATGTGGTTCCATTGAGAGCTTTCTACTACTCAAAAGATGAAAAACTGCTTGTTTCTGATTTCATGGCGGCTGGAAGCTTATCTGCTCTTCTCCATGGTAAATCTTCTTCTTTCTCTCACTAAATTATAGCCAAATTTACTCCATAAATTACAGGTATAAATCGTAATAGCTCATGCATTTCGGCCTAGGGTTTATCTTCTTCTTCTTCAACCTTAACTCTGCTGCTTTAATGGAGGTTCTGTCACGTTCCTATGTTCTTGGCCGGGCACAAGTTTTACTGCATTGGGAAGAAGTTAGAAAACTTTTTCATGGAACAATCTTCAAAATATGCCTTCTCAAAGTTTTACAGAAATAGCTATTTACTTTTTACCCATTTTCAAAACCAAATCCCTATTTTAATTGAAGTTTATGCATTTAAGAAATTTCTTATGCAAATTTGTAACCCATTTACTTAAATATCCTAATACAAATAAGAATCCTTACACAAATCTGCATCTTTACATAAATTTACATAGGGATTTTTTCTTTCTTTTTTAATCTTACACAAATACATAAAATGTTATATACAGAATTTTGATTGAAATAAAAATTAAATAAAAAAATAGTTAAAGAGTGAAATGTTAAAAGACCATCTTTAACAAATTATGTGTAATTTATTTAAAATAAAACATTATAAATTAAAAAATTAAAAAATTAAAAAATTACATTTAATTACAACAATTTTTGATTTTATAGATCTAAACCTCAAGTGTATTATTAAAATATTTTATAATTTTATAACTCAATACATTTTAAGCAAATTTTATAAAATTATTATTGGTGAAAAAAATAAAAAGTAAAATCATTTCTCTCTTGTTAAATTAAATTTTAAACAATTCTTTAAATTTATAGTTTTCTTTATTTGTAGAGAACAATACAGAAAATCTGTTGGAAACAAATAAAGAACAAACCTTATTAAAGATGAGGATGATGCGTGAGTTTATTTGTTCTATTTACCATGTATAAATATTATATACTTAAAGAAAAAGAAACAATTCTCTATTTTCTCTATTTTACAGAACATGTTAGATGAGATGTTGTAAGTCTTCTATTTTATAACTACCGATTAGAATCAACTGATTTCATATAGGTTGAAATCTTATCTACTAGCTAAAATAGGCATAAAATAGTTGCTATAATAAATAAGAATTAAACTACTTGGGTTCTTGCGCACCAATTCAGACTTTAAAGGATGTAGTGAAAACCTCAATCTTTTTTTCCTGTTCGAATCTGAATGTTGCCAAAACTTTTGTAACTAAGGAGATTCACCTGTGATGAACCAATAACTCCAAACCATCTATGATCACCCAAAGGATTACTTAGTATACATAAACTGTATTGCCAAAGGATTACTCAGTATATATAACCTGTCCTACCAAAGGATTACTCGGTACATATAAACTGTCCCGAATACCTACTATTAAAAAAGTAATAATTTTCTAAGCGTAGAGTAGAAGATAAACATTCTCTAAGTAACATAATAATATTATTATAGGGTGCATGGTTTCGTGATGACACTCATACCGTGTTAGATGCGCATCCTGGCGTATGATATGCGTGACCAACCTGCACCCTTGTTTACGTTACCAGTCCTTTAAGAAACAAACAATTGCAAAATGGCCCCCCATAGTCCCCACTAACGTACCTTTTTCAATCATGAGGCATCTTGTCTTTTGGACGTTGAATGTCTTTTCCCAAAGCTAAAATTTTCAAGTAAAAGGTAATGTAGCATAAGAATCTTGTACTTGCTGTAATAAAATTTGTACTTTACTCTAGGTTTAGTAATTTGAATTGCGGATGTCCCAAAACAATAAAACATGCAAATGTTGAGTCCAGACACCATTATTCCACAAAATTCAACAAAAAAACACAAATCAAAAATTATAATTATTACTTTTTATGTCTCAAAATGAATATTTATAACAAACAGTATGCAGTTTTAGAAATAACCATTTAATGATTAAATATTTAGGGAGTAATAATATTTCCATATCATAATAGAACTAAAATTAGAAAGTAACCGCTTGTTGAAAGTTAAAACTTAATTTTTTTTTATTTCTGGGTAACTGTGGGTCTTCTGGTCAATTTATACGAACCGAGTAATACTTTTGGCGACCATGAATGGCCTTGACTTATTGCAGGTGAACTTTCATAGTCACGAGGGCTTTGACAACGTCTAGATTCGAATCTGGGATAGACGAGATTTTCCACTACATCCACCTGAGACTTAACTAGTGATCCAAACCCAAGTGGTTAATGAAAATTTAATTTAGGATAAACTAAGATAGAAATGTGAACGGATAAATTACATATTTATTTTCCTGAATGATAAATATCATGCTTAATAAATTTCTCAAATTTCATTGACTCTTTGGGGTCGTTTACCAAACAATTACCCGGTAAGTATTTACCGACAAAATTTAACGCTATTATTTATTCATCGGGCATAATTTTAGTCTATCAAAACGGTACCGCATGCATCAATTAACCCCGTAAGTGTTTACTGTGGTAAGAGTCGTTGCCCTCACTTACCGGGTAGGACTCTTGGTTCTTGTCTTGCTCATATCGGGTATAATTCTTGTTCCTTACCATATTCATCCGGTAAGGTAATATGACTTGATAAATGCTTACTCGGGTAAACATTTAGTAAACGGCTCCTTAAACTACATCATAATTAATGATAGATTTGAAAATTTTGTAGATTATAACTATTCTTTTTAAATAGACACTTATTTTGTCATGGGGGAGTAAAACAATAAGTTACTACAATTTAACTGTTATTTTGTAACGTTTTTTTTCCTCTTAAAGTTTCTTCTATTGTGTGTTATCTAGGCAGTAGAGGCTCGGGCAGGACATCGCTCGATTGGGACCATCGTATGAGAATAGCGCTGAGTGCCGCCAAGGGTGTGGCTCACTTGCACCTTGCCTCGAACGTGGTTCATGGCAACATCAAGTCATCCAACATCCTCCTCCGTGATGCCACCAATGCCGATGCTTTCGTCTCAGACTATGGTCTGAATACGTTATTCACTAAGCCAAGTACACCGAACCATCGAGTTTCAGGCTATCGGGCCCCGGAAGTTCTCGAGACTCGTAAAGTCACGTTTAAATCAGATGTTTATAGCTTCGGGGTCTTGTTACTCGAGCTTCTAACGGGTAAATCCCCTAACCATGCCTCGTTAGGGGAAGAAGGCATAGATTTGCCTCGGTGGGTCCAATCGGTGGTTCGTGAGGAATGGACGGCTGAGGTTTTTGATGCTGAGCTTATGACGTATAACAATATCGAAGAAGAGATGGTTCAGTTGTTGCAGATCGCGATGGCGTGTGTGTCAACTGTACCCGATCAACGACCCGCTATGCAAGAAGTTGTGAAAATGATGGAGGAGATGAATCGGGTCGAAACCGATGACGGGTTGAGACAATCGTCGGATGATCCGTCAAAGGGTTCGGGTGGGCATACCCCCCCGACTGAAACCCGAAGCTCACCTCGCAATGTCACACCTTAGATTTAACCCCAAAATCGGCATGCAAATAGATTAGAGATTTTTTTTTAATTTTTCTAATTTTGTTTGTGCATTTATTTTATATAAAATTTGTGAAACTTTGTTTAATTTTTCTTATAATTTTTGAAGAAATAATTTTTATTGAGTTAGAGCCCGTTTACCAAACGCTTATCCGAGTAAGTGCTTACCGGCAAAATTCAACACTACGCTTACTTACTGCGTAAGATTTTGGTCCATCAAAACGGTATTGTATGCAACAATTTACCCAGTAAGCGCTAACCATGGTAAGAGTCGTCGCCCTTACTTACCGGTTAAGACTCTCGATCCTTGCCTTTGGTCTTACAATGTATGATTTTTGATCCTTGTCATTTTTATACGGTAAAGTAATGTGACTTGGTAAACACTTACCTGGTTAGCGTTTGACAAACGACCCTTTACATATGTGTAACTTAGAAAATTGCAATTTAGAAAACAAAGTCAACTTTTAATAATAAAAAAATCTAGAAAATTGCAAATTTGGCATGTTTTATTTGGGGCTAAAACAAGCTTTATTTATTTTTTTGGGTTGTGACGCATTAGTTAAGTGTTATAGGGATGTTGTGAAAAATCTCGTTTATTTTTGGTTTAAATCCAGGCGTTGTTAAAGTCGTTGTAGCATGGAGAATTGTCTGCGATTACTTTAAGCCATTCGTGATCACTTGGATATTAATCAGTATGCTTAAACTGACCCAGAAACCCACAATTATCCAAATAAATGTTTCATTCAATTGAAAGGTAGATAATAAAATATTATGTAAAATTAATATTATTTTCACAAAAATAAAACATAGGATCTCCTTAAATAAAGATAAAGCTTTGTACTTTGATTGTGATTTTCAAAATTTCTTTTATTAAAGACGATGCTTTTTATTTATTTATAATATTTAATTACGACAAATTTTCAAGTTAAAAATTAAAGTTAGCAAAAGTTATCATTCAATCCACAATTCGTACAAGATATTCCAACATAAATTAAAGATGGTGATTTGCCTTGATTTGATGGCGAACCCAGCTCACCCGTTTCGAACAGGGACGAAGATTTCCTGCTAAAAAGGTTCTCAGGGGCGGGGGCAGGGATCCCTGATAGACTCAAACCTGGGCCCGGGACTGTTACTCAAACTGGGGTTTGGGCCAGGGGCAAGGATCCCCGGTAAACTCAAACTAGAGATGGCCAAAAATCGGTCCCGGGCCGGGCCTTAACCGGTTACGGCCGGGCCTAATCGTGACAAAAACCGGCTATAACCGGTCCCTCCGTAACCGGTCCCGGTTCCGGTCCCGGTCCCGACGGAAAACACTATAACCGGTCAAGCTGTCGTATAACCGGTTAAGGAAAACCGGTCCCGGTTCCGGTCCTATAACCGGTTACGGCCGGTCCTTTGAATTTTTTTTTTTTTTTGGTAATTAATAAATTAAAAATATGTTATTAATATTTTCGAAATATGTTATTTTTAATATGTTTTATTATAAATA